TTTACTCTTTATTTTAAAAACATAGACTACCTTCTCACACATCAATGCCTAAGTTGGTATGTTTATGCTGTTCAATGAACCATTGTTATGCAAGTGCTAAAAGCATTCAGCACTCATCCATTCACCTAGGCTAGTTTATATGTTAAAAGTTGAGCATATGGACTAATATTTGCCTCTGGTTTTAACATTTGGACTGCTTTTGTTTTGAGACACATCCAAAACGTTGGCTATAACCCAGATGCATTTTGACAGCCTAACATGTATAAGGTACTTTGTCTTCATGGGCCCTCAATTTCACTGCTGCATTGACTTTTTGAAAAATGCTCTTCCATTCTTAACCCAAGGAGGTTTATATCAGCATCTGGCATGTAGAAAAGAAGACATTGCCAACTGTCTCCATGTTATCTTAGAACCAGTTACCTTGGTAGGAAAAACTCAGCAAACATCCATTGCGTTTACATTCCTGCTGAGAAGTATTATACATTTGATGAATGCTGATCTGCTTTAGATTGTGTTAGCGCTGTTAAGTTCTAGTAGTATGGGGAGATGATGCAGAGGTGCCTGGTATGTAGACTAAATAGTGGGAAATATATAAAGCTTTATAATTCCTAAATTCAGTAGTTAGATTGCGAGCCCTTCAAATTTAGATGATTTCTCACAAGACTCCCAAATTCTGTAATCAGGGGGGAAAGGGCACATAGAAACTGTAAATAGGGATTGTGACATACTAGATTTGTTTAAAGAAACCTTCAACAGATAAAATGTTATAATCAGCTGTTTCTAGGGAAGGAGAGAACTGAGGTTACCTAGGGGTAATGACTAGTGTAATTACTGGGACATTGGAACCTGCAATTATAGAATCTTCTTACTGAGAAATGAATAAAAGCCCTGAGAGGTTTCACTTCCCATGATGAATTGTTTGTATACTGTTGTTTGCAACCAAGTACGTTTTGGATATGAATCCCTGCATTTTAATTCTTAAATGGCAGTGTGCCATTAGTTAGCTTTGGAATTATTTGCCATTCAATGTATAGACTAGGAAGTGTATAGTTTGATGATATTACAATTTTCTTTTATCTTGCTTATAAGAATTCAAACTTTGAATATTTCCCATTTTTTAATTTATATTTTCAATGCAAATTGTTATCTGTAAGTAGAATCAGTGGTATTGCACTAAGCCTCCCCCCTCCTTTTAATGAGTGGACAGCAGGTGGTGGGATAACTTGCTCCAGGGTTTGAAGGAGAAGGGGGCAGATGCTTTAAAGAGTTTTTTTCAACCCTCCCTCCTGTTTGTGCCTTCAGAGGCTGAAATGTGGTGGGGGAGGAGACTGTCTCAAAGCCTTTTGCAAGTCTTCCCATGATCATTTCTTAATGTCAACAACCTCTTAGCCAGGCTTCCTCAACCTCTGCCTTCCAGATGTTTTGAGACTACAATTCCCATCATCCCTGACCACTGATCCTGCTAGCTAGAGATCATGGGAGTAGTAGGACAAAAACATCTGGAGGGCCGAGGTTGAGGAAGCCTGCTCTTAGTTATAGACCATTAGCAGGATTTGTGCCTCATTGCCGATTACATTTGGCTTCCTTAGTTTGTTATTAAGGATTATTTCTGATGCTTTAGTGGGATAAATCCTATGGATGTGGGTTGCCTAATTCGGAGTGGGGGGCTGTTCTGGTTTGCTTTTTCTAATTTAGGTCATTTTGTGGGGAGCAGACCTTTTGGGGCTGTGTGTTGCTCCAAGAAGCATTTGCTGCTCATGTTTGCTGGCTTAAATAAATGCATATAAATAATATAGAATCAAATTAATTGTATATAGCTTTACTCACAGAAATCTTTGACGTTTGTAACTGATAATGCTGAATCTACGTGGAGGAACATATTGCATTAGTGACAATTAATTGGTTTTTTTAATTCTTTTGATGATTACTTCAATTGAGTTCACTTGGAAATAAATTTTGTATCTAGTTCAATTTGTTTGATTAGTTGGATTGTTCATCATTATGATATATTGTTTTGTTATGAGATTGCTCATAGTGGCTTACAACCATTAAAACAGCAATGCAAATATACTGGACGAGTGAGAATTTTCTAAATTAAACAAGCAGTGATAAGCTTGATTGTTAATGGTAAGAGACCATTAGGCGACAAGTTTGTTCTCCACACCAATATTTACCAATACAGCCTGTTTACCTTTCACATGCACAGCCTCTACCCATATAAAGCAACCCGGACTCTGCTATCTTCACCTGAGGCCCTTCTTTGTGTGCCTCCTCCACAAGAGGTCCAGAGGGGGGCAACATGAGAATGGACCTTTTCTGTAGCGGCTCCCCATTTGTGGAATGCTTTGCCCAGGAAAGTTTATCTGGTGCCTTCAGTATACATCTTTAGGCACCAGGCAATAATGTTTCTCTTCAACCAGATCTTTAGCTGATTAATATTCTGCAGCCTTTTCAATGTGATTGTGGAAGGGGGACAGGGCAGGAGGTTATTGCTTGTTTTGTTTTTGTTTTAAATATTTTGTGCTTTTATCCTGTGAATATCCCTGAGATCTTCAGGTGAAGGGTGGTATATAAATTTAATATATTAATTATTATTAATAATAATAATAATAATAATAATAATAATAATAATGTACATGCATGGCTGCAATTTATTTGAAAGGGGAAGAATCGGGGAAATATGGTAACAGACACATAGCTATCACCCCCAATAGTGAAAAATTCAGAAGCAGAGTTGAAGAAGGGGAGTAGGGGTGAAGGTTATTACAGAGCATTTCCTTTTTCCTTTGCTCACAGCTTCTAGCTGGTGTTTGGAGGTGGGCAGGGACAGCTCCAAAGAGTGGACTGGTTAGGAATTTGTCATAAGCATGAAGATAGCAAAGGGTCTGCTGGTCCAACACTAACACCATTCTCACTATTCATAGAATGCCCAAGGAAGTCAGAGGAAGAAAGGCAAAATTACATGTTTCACATCTTCAAGGTTAAGGGGTCTCCCTGAAAATGACTTGCTCACCATCTTAAAAAACCTGGAGGCTATAGTGGAAAAAGGTGTTAGCAGTGTTCATTTTTGCCTTCCAAGGGCCTGAAACCCATTGTTTGTTCAGGGTATCATGGGTTAAAAAGCCTGACCCCCATCCCTTGTTCAGGTCTATGCCCCATGTTCTGTCCATTACAGTGGCCACGGTGTTGGATGGAGAATATGTAATAGGGGATTCTTCCTCTCTCTTCCTCACATGACAGCACAATATTAAATACATTTTAATCCTTCAACATAAGCCCTGCAGTACGTGATAACACACGAATTACTATTATCAACACAATACTGTACTCTATTGGGGGGGGGGAGATCCAAATCTTAATCTGGCAAAATAAGTGGTGTTTGTCTATGCAATATGATGCTAACTCATTAAAAACTCAGGAATGAGCAGTATGTGACATAGCCTAGAGATTGAGTGAAAGAAATACATTTTATGACAGATATTACAAAAAAAAAAAAAATAGAGCACAATAGCAGCTATTTCTGCTTTCAAGAGACCTTGCCGTTTTCCAGCTGTTTACCCTTGAGAAGTAAAGTGGTAATTTGACATAGACTAGCAACACAGTGTGATGTGAGCATCTGCGTAAAAGGCTGTGCATATGGAGCATGCCCAGTGATGTGAAAAGCTTCTAGCCCCACCCCCACCACACACCGAGCTCTGAAGAGATGAAATGAACTTTGCACTTGCAAATGTTACATTTTGCACAGGATTTGTAAAGATTCTTTTATAAGCACTGTATTCTAAACAGTTAAAAAAATAGGCAACAAAGGCAGTTAACAAATAACAGCAGCAAAGGCAGGTTTTTTTTGTATGTACTGAGGATTGCATCAGTGTAGCATCTCTTACATTATATTTGGTCTGGAAATTCCCCCCACTGAATTAATTAAACATCTTTGCTTTTTGGTGCCATGGGAAAATTAAAAATTTACTTACACTAGAACAGAGACATTGAGGACTTGCAAAACTGAGGAAAGAGCTTGCAGCAGAGCATGGATAGGAAAAGAACAGTGATTCTGCGGTGTTCAGTGTGCACATGTTTTATGAGAATCAGTGCTGGGCTCTGCAGCTGCGGACAATAACTAAGCTGTCTGGCTAATGAAGGCCACCTGGATCAGGCTTCTGAAAAGAGCCAAAGGAGGACGGCTGAAGAATTCTGATATCTGTGTAAGCTCTAAATTTCAATTCGCTGGCATATTTTGCATTGCAGGTGGGATGGGGGAAGGCTTTCATTCTGTTTGAATTAGCAGTTTCCATTCTTTTGCTTGCAACAAGGAGGAAAATCTGAGATGTAAGTTGTTTACATAGTTATTCTAGCATTGTGACCAGGGGTTGGACATGTGCTTGACTCCAGACATGTTCTGTCAGCTGCAATTTGATTTGTGGTCATTTCTTTGTTTTTGCTGAAGGGCTGAGATTTGTGCCGTGTTATTTTTTCTGATGGGGAAAGATAGTGTCAGGTGAGGAGGTGCTCTGCAATGAAGATAAAATTAATAGTTTAAAGCAGGCACTGAGGTGCTTCTCAGGTGTAAGGATTTCTCTTAGCAACTTCGTATTTTTTATCTGAATGCTGCTTTTAGTGAGACTCAAATGGCCTTATTTGTGGCTTGCTTATCTAAAGCTATCCTTGAAACAGCTGCACGTCCTTCAGCTCTGCACTGCACCATTACGGTTACTTCACGGAAACTAGCTCTGCATAGCAAAAGGCATATGCAGATTAGAATGAAGGAGAAACAGCAAGTATAGAGCTGGAGAAAGAATGCTGGTTTTCAGAATAGCTTCAGGGTTAAAGCAATTTAGATAGTAATTCTTTTTCTCATTGATGCTATTGGGAATCACAGGTTTTTAGAATTTGTTAAACGAGGATTTATATCAAAGTGCTGCAAATAAGAATTCTGAACTAGTATATATTTTTAAAGAACACAACACAGTTTTCTTCATTTGTAATATATTCCTTTTGTCCAGGGTTCGGCGGACTCCTACACTAGCCGTCCATCTGATTCAGATGTATCTCTTGAGGAAGACAGAGAGGCAGTGCGGAGAGAGGCAGAGCGACAGGCCCAGACGCAGCTGGAAAAGGCAAAGGTAAGATGCTGTTTCACTCTCTAGATTAATGGAAATGTTGTTTCTAGTAGAACCTGTTGTCTTACTAAATCATCATTGACATCTTTTCCTATGCATGATAAAGGCACAGTACAATGCTCATTTGCCCCTAGTATGTTCTGACTACTATAGTCAGTTTTATAGGAAAACGAAGCACTTGGATTTTGCATATGAAAAACAAACTAGTGAGAAGTTGTTTTTCAGTAAATATATAGACATATTCCAGAATCTTATATAGAACATGGAATCCCAGATTCTCTCCCTGCGTATGAATACTACTATTTTTCTTTGGTGATTTTGAATTGTGAGTATATGGGGCCAAAGATGTGTGTGATAATATTGTTGGTAAAAGGATGTTGTTTAAAAGCAACTCTTGCATCACTCTTTTTATGCTGCTGTTGCTCCTTTGACTTCACTTGTTGCCTTCCATATATGTCTTAGTACAATAATTTTAATGTAATTTTAATTATCTATATCTTTAGTTTCTTTAGAATGTAGTCTTTCACATCTATATTCTCTAGTCTCTTTACCTCACACTGTTCTTTAAAAAAAAATCTTTCTAATATTCCATATACTTGTTCATCCTATTTTTCTCATTGTCTGATTATATGTGTATATATTTATTTTAAAATGTATCTCCCACCTAATTCAGAAATTGTATTGCCGCTTGCAACTAAGTTCAACAAAATCCACCCTGTGTTTAAAACCATCTTCCAAATAAACAATTTAAAAGGTCATGTTAAAGCATCATCAAGGTCTTCAGCATTAAAGCCTCTTCTTTAGGGAAAGGCTTTGCAACGTTATTCTGAGGATTTTAAGTTGTGTGTTTTCACTCTTAGTATATGGATGAATGTGCATTGATTCCAGGAACAAGCATTTACCTAATTTTAAAGATTTGGTCCAATCTTTGGAAAGGTTGCCTGATCCTTTTTTCATAACTAAGGTATGCTAGATCAGTGGTAGCTTTTTGAGGATGTTACACTTGATTTCTTGGGGGGGAGGAATGCTTATGCTATGACATTCTTAAATAATGGGCTGTTGTTCATAGTCATAGCCAATTGCTTGGAGGCTTCAAGCCCTTTGCAATAAGACAAATTTGTGGTACTGGCCTTTGAGGTGCACTTTTTTAGATGGTCCATTTAAGAGCCTTTGAGCTCTGTCTTTTTAGGTTTCCTGCTGAATCTGATGTGCTCTGCCCTGAAGGAATACTGTTGTGTTCTCTCCCAGCTGCCCTGCTTTAATTCTGAACTATGGAGACAGAAAGCTGCTAAAGGGTTGCAAAATTTAGATCAGTAACTTTTGTATTTTCCCATGATGGCCACCCTGAGAAGTAACTAATGGGTCTGGGTTGTCAGAGTTTGATAGCTGTGAATATATGTGACGGTTTCTTCCTACTCTTACAGACTGCATTTTTATGATACAAATCAACTGCTCTAGGAAAGAGTATGTATTTTACTATCAGTGAAATTAAACTTTCAAAGAAAACAGATAAGAATTTACAGAGAAATAGGAATAGCATTAGTGCACTCACTAATGCTAAGCTGATGCATCTCTTACTGATGAGTAAATCTATGTGAGTGTTGCTATGGGAATTTGGCTTAGCAATGCTGACTTGAATGCATGGACAGCCCTTATGTAATATTCATGACCTCTAGCAAAGCTGCCGTAGGAGTTCACAGAGAAACTGCCAGCAGACCTTGACTTTTTAAAACTGTATTTCCATGCATCAAAACGGTGTTCTCACTTCGGTAGGCTCAGGAATAATCTCCAGGTCTGACATTGTCTCTGACTGTGAGACAACTTGTAAACAGTGGACGTGGGAGGGCACTGGCAGTATTAAGCTGGTGTTTCAGTACTGCAAAGATGTTAATGTTTAACATCATTTTTTGCATTAATAAGAATGTTAACTGAACACTAAATGACAAACAAGACAGGAAAATGTATATTGTCCAATACTCATATTTAACAATTCCTTGCCATTTAAAGATATTTAAAAGCAGTTATTTATTTTTAATATTGTGGATGAAAATAGCGATCCTGATTAATGTGATGACACTTCTTTTTGTCATAAAAATGTAGAAAATGTTGGCATACATGCATAATGCACAATACGTTGATGGAAACCTAAGAGCACATAAAAAAGTTTGTGAATACATAATCAGTGGTGTCCATTTTACTTTCTAACTTTAAGGGCAAACCTCCCCCAAATGATAAGCAGTGGTGTACATAAATACATGTAAATAGGAAACTGTTCTTGTTTTGGAAAGTGTTCTTGGCTCTTAAAGTTTGCGTTGCTTCTCTTGTTTCAAGGTTAGTTAACAAGTTTTCCTGAATTGTAAAATCTTTTCAACTCCTATGCGACTGTGGAAATGCTGCCAACATGTGGTTATCTTAAAAAGAGTTTTTAAGTAAACCATTCCCCTTTTAATGCTAAAAATTCAAAATTTATTCCCATATAGCCAGTGTGTTTTTTTCCCTAGAAAAAAAGGTGCTGGAACTCACTATGAACACTTCCCTTGTTCTCTTTGAATGGCAATGGTGCCCATCTGAGAGATCCGGCAAGTTCTGGCTGGGGAAAAAAGCCCTGCATGCAGCTAATACAGGCATAGGCAAACTCAGCCCTCCAGCTGTTTTGGTACTACAACTCCCATCATCCCTGACCACTGGTCCTGTTAGCTAGGGATGATGGGAGTTGTAGTCTCAAAAACATCTGGAGGGCCGAGTTTGCCTATGTCTAAGCTAATAAATGAATACCTAGATTACGCTAGAACAGGCCAAATCTACAAAAGAAGGGTAGTGCTGCCCAATAATAAAAGGTTGGGAAACTTACGGTAGCTCTCTTCTATACTCTTTAAACCTACCAAAACCTTTGAAGGACAACCACCATAAAAGGTGGAGAAGACTTAACACATCTTGTCCTGATCTAAACTAATATGTAATGCATAAATCCAAGAGTAAAGTATGTAAACATAATGATAAAAAGCAACAACGTCTTACATTACACAGAGAGTTTTCATGTTGGTGACCCCAGAGACAAACAAATTCATCTAAAAACATGTGTGAAGAAACAATGTTTTATTATTTGGTAATACTCTATATAGCATTGTAATAAGAAACATTTGTAGTCCATTTTCTTTCATTCGCAGAGTAACCTGTTGCAAAAGAAGAGATAACTTCTGAGTTCTTAATAGTTATATAAGAGGACATTTAAGCAAGTTTTGCTTGTGTGGGAACTAGGGATGGCGTAGATATTCAAAGTGGAGTTCATCAAATGTAAGCATTGCTGCTTGAACAATTAAAATGGCTTGAATTCATTGTGGGCAAATCATTTTAAGCTTGCTTCTAGTCAAATTGGGACTGGCACGGACCTCCATCTTTTGCAGCTAGAGATTGTGAAGCTTGCAAGCACACAGGATCTTGGGCTGCATGGGGCTGGCCTGCCTTTTCAAGGAATTCTTTGCAGCCTGATCATGTGGACTGTCCCTGGAATGCACAGACCTGACTGCTGTTTGAGCCTGGGAGATACCCTGTTTCATGAGAAAAGGTGGAAATTAGGCTACATGGTTTTTCAAGTAGCCCAGTTGATTTATGGGCCAAACAAGCCAGTGCTTGCCCATCTCTAGTAGCAAGTTGCACCTGCCAAAAACCCTCCTTTTACCGAACAGATGCTTTCCTCTGCATCTGGAATATGGGAAATAATTAAAAATGTGGTTTCCAAAAGAGCTTAGAATCCTGGATCATGAGACATTATTATTATCCAGTATTGGACAACCCAAGAGCCCATAAGGCCTTGACTAAGTGTTGACTAGGGTTCAGATAGTTGAAGCAACCTGGGGTTTGGTGAGGTGAACAGGATCCAGATAATAGGGAAGTGTCAAGTATTACAGGATGTGGGAAGCCGTCCAGTGAGAGCTCCCAAGCAGCTTATGCATTGCTTTGATAATAATCCGAAACCAACTGAGGACCTAAACAACAAAGCAGGATTGTCCCTTAGCTGAAAATGGGAGTGGGCAGAGCCCCAGTTTGAAGCCAACAGTGTTGCTAGATAGTTCCCAGGTTTATTCCCTTTGTTTTTTGCAAGGAACTTTTGTGATACTGAAGCTCTTTGGTTGACGGCTGTAGTAGTGAGTTTGTAGAGTTCCTCATTTGGAGTGTGCAAATCTCCAGTTACAGGTGCAGACTCAGGCCCCAAACTTCAGAATTCACTCCCCTCCCCCTCCCCTCCCCCGCCGTTCAAGTGCGCGTAATTGGGCTACTAATTTGTAGAGGCTCCTTCTGCTTTGAAGTCATTGTCCAAGGTATCTAGGTTTAAGTTGTCTATCAAATCTAGTATCCCTCATATAGCACATTTTTAACCCTCAAAATGTGTCCTGAAAGAATGTGGGAAAGTGGCTTATATCAGTTCAGACCACTGGTCCTTCTAATTCAGTATTATATTTCCTCTACCAGGTGTCCTCTGGAAGTAGTGTTATCCAATGTAACACTAAGTTAAAAATTACTTAATAGTATACTTGTTTCACTGGTGCAGTGTTTTGTACTAAAGAACGTTGTTGCACAAAAATATTTAAGCAGTTTGCTTGAAACTTTGTTGTACAAAAGATTTCTGTACAATCTGTTGTACAGCAAGCTTACACTAGTGCAACTGTTGCATTGGATTTCTCTTTTGCGCAGCATTTAAACTCACCTGTCTCTTTGCACAACAGCCTTTGCACTAGCACACAGAGAACATTGGATAGAGTCCCAGATGTTTGGAACTGCAGCATGGTCAGACAGCATGTTCAGTTACGATGAAACATGTTGTCAAAAATACCACATTTTTCAGTGTATAAGATGCCCCTATGTATGACAACCCCCGTTTTTTTGAACCCCAATTTAAGAAATCAATATTTCTTGAGTTGCTGAGCTTTGTGGGGGGAGCTTTTTTTGCAGAGATTGCCCTTGAGTTGTTTGGGAGGTCCCCACCCCCCACCAATCGCTTGCCA